TAAAGCCATAATAAGCCCTTTATAAAGCCATAATAAGCCCTTTATAACAGTGTTTTTATGTAAAGATTTCACAGAATGAAAAACATCAGCATTTGTTAAAGAACTACAGCTATAAATTCCTCTGCCTCAAATAAGTGACTTTGTCTTCAGCGTTCCTCAGATATGAGAAGAGTTCACAATAAACATGTTTTCAGTAGTTTTACGATGCATCTTGGGAGGATAAACAACTTCCTATTACTTTGAGAAACGTGTGTTTTATTTGACAAAATAGTACTTAGTTTTGTTTTAAAGTTTATAGAGAAAAAAACTTTTCTGCCTCACCAAAATACTAGCTATATTTTATGTCTAGGTTTATATGAATTTAATGTGAAAAACACTTTATTTTTTCTTTATCTTAAAAAAAAAAAAATACAAGAAGGAGTTGAATGTGGGAACAAAAATGCATTTTCAAACTTATCCAGACCTGAAAAGTATTGAAACCATAATCAAGATTTTTCCAGCTGTTTTAGGACTCGGCAGGAAGTCAAACATTTTTCTGACCTTTAAAAGTTCTGGGAACTCCTTCCTGTCTGCAGGCGATGAAGAGGCAGGCTGAGGCGATGGCATCGTTGGCTCGTCCCTTCAGACTCTTCTGTTCATAAACCTGCTTGAATAAGTTGTTTGTTCTGTCCTGAGGAGAAAATTAAACAGCACGTGAAGTTAAACATTTATTATCTCAGAAGCTTTAAATCAAATCATGGCAGAAGAGAAAAGATTATCTATAAAAGGCAACATGTTATTAACTCTGAACTTTATCCCCTTTACACTAGATTGTTTTTATAGTTAATAAAAAGCTTTTCTATAAAAAGAATTGTTTACGACCAGCAGATTCTGACTTTGCACAGATTTAACAAAACTATATCACAGCCAGCTTCTCAGCAAGGTGTAGGTGAATCGTGATTATTAAACACCTGGTGAGTTTAATTTGTTCTCTAACGTTGACATTTCTGTTTAAAGTCTGAAGAAATGAGCAGGAAAATCTGAAATTTGACTCAGCCAGTCAGAATACTTACCAACCCTGACCTCAACATCTAAAATGGCCGCCTCGCACATGAAAAGTTGTGATAAATATACTGGCAGTAATAAATGTTTTCCACTTCTTTTCGTTTGTGCAGGTGTGCCACGTTTTCTCAGTACTTTGTTTTCCAAGTAGAAACAAAATAAAAATGCTAAATGTGGCTGCCTGAATCCTCAGACTGAAACTGAATTTTCAACTCCAAAAAAGTTCAATCTGGTCCTCTGGACATTCAAAGAAACAAAACCAAACAAAAAAATGTAGAAACGTTTCGTCTTTCATCATCAGAATTTTCAACCATTTTACTCTGAATTTTCTCTCCATTTTGAAGTTGTCAACTCACCTC